ACCTGAGACACTGACAGGGTAGTTAAATAAACCTCAAATCCACTGCTGAGATGAGGCTCGCGAACCCCAAGTTTACAGACACATACATAACCCAGACATTTATTTCCCTTGAAGATCACAGTGCTTTGTGCAGACTGAGGTGTAACCGCGTAGAGACCACGTCATAAGATATGGAATTAGCGTGTCCTTCACCACATGAATCACGGATACTTCCTCGGCCAAGCGGATTCCGTGCGGCAATGAACAGTGTATGAAAATACGCTTCGTGTGCGGGAACTAACCTGGTTACAAAGGTTTTCAAGGTCTGTGTCGATTGTGCGTTAAATTACATTCAAATTACTCTTCCGGACTTTGTCCTGTGACTGAATTTAAAAAAAAAAAGAGATCTTGCTCAGAAAACTGAATTCTGCTTTAACCACGAGATGAAAAGCGAATAACAGTAAATCTGTCTTTTGCGTCCTCTGACTGAGCCAGCCTCAGTCATGGACCGCACATCGGAAGACGACACTGCTCGCGTGTTATTGTTTAAGTGGGAGTGTCAGGGCAAACACACGTGCCTGCAGGCATCTCACTCAACAACTGCGCAGAACATGCGAACAGCCAGCACACAGTGACTATACGGCCTTAGGCTGAGCGTTTCCCGTGCAATGGCCATTGGTTTCCGCCCCTGAACAAGAACACTACACCCCACGCAAAATCTCCAAGATTAAAAGAACAAAATTACTTCTGGAGGATGAAAATGACCGTCTTCTGGCATGCTGCGTCGTGTTTTCTGGTAGTCATTTACCGACGTTTCGTATGTGCTTATTGTCTCCATCATCAGGGCGATAAGTCTTACACAGCCCAACATTCCAAAGACAGAGGCACCTTCATACTCTCTCTTTGCAGCATCTCCAGAAGAAGTAACCGAACGCAGGATATTGAGGACCTTCAGAATTTGTACTCTTCAGTTAACCTAGGCCGAATTTTAGGAAAATAAAACGAAGGAAGATGAGATGGGCGGGGAATGTAGCATGTATGGGGGAGATCAGAAATGCATGCAGCGTTTTACCAGATAAAACCTGCGAAGATGATATTAAAATGGACGTCAGAAACAGGGAGAAAGGCTGTTGACTGAATTCAACTGGGTCTAGACAAGGTAATGCGCGGAACTTCTCTCGATTGCTACAAAAAGTGGGGGATTTCTTGACATCTTGCATGATTTTCATGACAATAAAATGCAATATTTAAAAGCAGGAACTTTTGTTATGAGGTCCTGAACTGAACTGGATCTGTTCAAGAAAGAATGAGGTAGGAAGAAGGGAATGAAAGAGAGAAGAAGGAAGACATAATTTAAGAAAATAACTACATTTCCTCCTACGTCCAAACGCAGTGCCAGAGAAGTCCCACAGATTAATTTCAGACATGATTGTTTAGAAGGACACGTGTACGGACGATAAATATTTTCATCTTGCGTCATTCCGCTAGCGTGGAAAATCCCCGAGGCGGTATATAAACCGGTAACAGAGGCTGGCCGTTCACTATACCACTTGATCGTTCATGAGTGAGGAGGTCGCCCGCCTGGCTGTCACCCTGCACGCCCGTCTATTCTGCGTTCCGGAGTGAAGTCGGTACGTGTCTTGCATTGTTTTACAAATTCGCCTGCCTTCATATCAATCCTTTTATTTTCTCCCTTGTTCCTTATTCCGCGTCCTTTAAATTCAGCAAAAATAACGATGATCATTAAAACTGATTCTTACAGAAGCCAATCCACAGACGAAGATGACCGACATGCAAGAGGGACTACGCCATCGGCTTCTTCAGGAGCTGGAATGTCCAGTCTGCATGGAGTACATGGTTCCACCCATCATGCTGTGTAACAACGGCCACAATCTCTGCTGTAACTGTAGGGTCACACTTGAGAAGTGTCCCATCTGCAGTGGTCCATTTCTGAAGGTACGGAACCTTTCTCTGGAGAGCCTCGCCACCGAGACACTGTATCCTTGCAGAAACATCCAGAGGGGTTGCACGAAGCTCCTCACCAAGATGACAGTCAAGTGCCATGAGACCGAGTGTGCGTTTGATAACCAGAAGTGTCCTTTTGCCAAGATATCAAACACTCGGTGCAACTGGGTTGGTTCACTGGATACTGTGAGACGACATGTAGAGAGAAATCACAAGGGCAGCTGTGTCCAGCGCGTCTCAGGGAAGTTCAAGACCGTTCTTCACAACGTGTCGCGTTCGCAGAGATATTACCAGGCCATAATAACTCTCGATGATCTGTTTTACGTGAGTTGGAGAGTTCACAGTGACGCTTTCTACTGCGCTGTGTTCTATGTGGGGCCACAGGAAAATGCTTCCGAGTTCAAGTACAGGTTTTCAATTTCAACGAAGGATGGAGATTGTTATTCGTTGTCTGCTGTCTCTCACAGTTATTTTGAGAATGTAAATGACGTTGTTCGACAAGGAAAGTGCGTTACGATAGATTACAGCGATGTGCAGAGATGTTTTACGGACAACGGCGACCTGCCCTTCAGAATGGAGATTTCTCAGATCTAAACAAGGAAATTATTGGAAAAAAAAATGTGATAAGATGCATCTAAAGCCATTCTAGTGTCTGAACTTTAAATATTCTTATTAGTTTTAATATTACTGTGCCAACAGTCTAACTTTGTGGAGTGAATTAACGTCTTCCTTAGCCTTTGGTGCTCTGTGCTAACTGCATATGTCACGTCCCTTAACAGTCAGCAACTCTGTTGACAGAATGTATATATGGGTCTAATATGACTCGCAGAGTAAATAGTGCTCATTTCCTTAAACAGCATCAAGCAGTTGGTCTTTGTAATGGAGAAACATTACAAAATGTTTTGAGTCAGGAATTGAACTTTTAAATATTTTTTTATACAAATTTCTTGCTTCAAAGTGTTAAAACAAATGTTAAATTTAGTACTAATTTCTTCGTAAACTACGTAGAATACTGAAAGATTATACATTGAAGATACTTTGTTTTATCTACGTAGTGTTTTCATATCATTTAAGACTGAACACTATTGAGTGTTTAAAAAGTGATTCATGGATTCAACCGTTCTCTGCTCCTCTGAAAATGTCTTCGATTTCTTTAAATTTCACTTGTCAAAAGACTCAGAACTGAAAGATTTAGTGACGTTTGTCAGCAGGAGAGATTGTAAAAAAGTAGGTTCTGATGGCTAATTTTTTAAAGCACTCCTTAAATCCTGATTTTCAACATACTACTGTGGTATCAAACTGAAAATGAATACCATTTGAGGAAACATTCTGAATTAAGTCTTATCTGTATGAATAATAATTTTTGTGTAAAAAAAAAACACGAATCTAAAGACATTTAATTTCTAAAGCATTTGAACTGGGTGTCTCAAACAAATATGTTTGTTACGAGTAAAAAAATAACAACTCATATAAGTTTCTGAATACAGTGATTCTAATTTTAAACACATTGTAATTAGGAGTATTAATCCTACTACTTACAATGTCTGTTTGTTGCCATGCTGAAAACAGATTAAAAAAATTCATGTACTGATGTCTTTTCACATCCATACGTCATAATCAATTTGTTCTGTACTTACCTGATATCCATTTTATGAGATTAGATATATATATTTTTTTTATTTTGCACGTATTCATAAATGTTCAGTTTAGCTTTGTCTAATATTACATTCATTGTGCCAAGCTTAGTTGTACCTGAGGAAAACTTATAATAAACAGAAAAATTACAATACTAATATCCACAAAAGTCTCAGTTTGATGCTATTGGCGTTACTGAGAACATTATTTTTTTATTTAGTGTTCTGTCTGACGACAGGTCCATATGAACAGGATCCTTCCATCCTTTTCTCGGACTGGGACCTGTTCATATACGTTCTTGGCAGATGATCCAGAAGTGGTTTGCCATTGCCTTCTTCTGTGTGTGAATGAAGTAATTGTTGGGATGCCACGGAGGAAAACTCCGGGTTGCCTAGACCACGGCCTTGCCCAACAAAAGTTATAAATTCGAACCCGAGACCCCAGGATTACAAGCCCAGCGTTCTAACCGCTAGACCACCACCGTGGCAATCAGGCAGTTACTTTTTATTATTTCAATTACGTGATCATTTCCTCAGTTTGTTGGCCAATTGGAAGATAGACTACAGTCAGATGTGATCCTTCTTTTTATTAATCGAAATTCGTTTTGTAGATTTCAGTTGTGTCCTTCCATTTGCATTTATTATGATGTGGCAAATGAAGACATTAGTCATGTTCAACACAAGTTACGTTAACATATATGGTGCAGTACGTTCTTACTATTAACTATGATCTACTCAATTATTATTTTCCTATGTGAACTCACATCCATGTAGTTTATAGTAGGTAAATTTGCTGAGCTACTGCGACATAGTCATGACGTCATTCTTAAACGCGAGGACGTTCTAAACCTTTATCTTCGGACATCAACAACGACGGAAGGTCAACTCTTTTTTTCGTGCACTAATTTCTAAACTACTGTTTCGTTGACGGTCTTATCTTTCTCTGTGGTATTTACATTTAGTGTTTAACTAAAAATTAACACCACCTTCTCCTGCCATTAGCTGTGCAATCCTGAAGCACTTGGATTTGTTAATGCCACGCTCTCAGACCAGCAAACGCCACTGACCGCTGCAGACCAAGCGAATCCAAATTTTTTTTATTTACTGTAATATTTATATCCAAACCGACCTTCATTGTAAATATGTTGCTTGCCTTGAAGAAACGCATTGCAAGGAACACTGCGTCCTCTTGCGGTCCTAACAAATTACTGTCGTCCAACAAACATCGACGGAAGATACAAAGACGGAGCAAGACACGAATGTGTAAGATAAAGAGAGGAAAGAACAACTCCATGGAGCCGGATCCTTGAGAAGCTGACAGTCGCTCAGATGGCCAATAAAAACCCCGCTCTTTACGGATTCATAAGTTTTATTGCCGTGTTCACAAGAGGCCGCACTCGAAAACAAAATACCAAATCTGTAAGACTTACTTCAGACTCTATGGAGTGTAAATACATTTACAGTATTTTAAACCTCGTCAATGCGTAGACATCGAAATTGGGGCAGTTTTATTGCAGAAAAAAAGCCGATAACGTCTCACCAGGTAATCCAAGGGCGACGAGTACTCAAAGCGTCAGATGGCACGACGTATTGAATTTTCCGCGCGCTGTGGTCTGAATTATTAGTGAGGAGAGCTTCGTCTTTAGATTCTTGGAATGCTCTGTAGCTAGGCAACATTTCATCGGAACTCATTTACTTTCGTGTAGAAGGACGTCCGACTAGATTAATTCTGAGCAGGTTCCAGGTGAATTTATTCTTCTGCGCTAGGGACGCAGAATACCTAACTTCTCAATTCGATTACGCAACATCCGTTGCATGTGAATGCCAGTCGCGAATAATCACAAGTCCATTTGTTCTTTTTTATGGCTCTGGTGCGACGTGCGAAATGCGATTCTGTGGTTCACAGATTTTCTCTGGAGTCCGAAAAGACGTTTCCTGGCTAGGTTTCCAGCCCATACGCCTTCTATTTGGATTTTTGGCGAAGATCTGGACACAAGGAATGCATAAAATTTTTTGGCGAGTAACCTTTTGTAAGAAATCCATCCGTAAGACCTAGATAACATTAAACCTTTGAATCCGAAGCTGATCTTTATAATATTTAAACACAATTCAAATATATAATATAATTCAAGTCTATACACAAACTTTAAATTGTTGATGTTAAAATTTAAAAATTAATATTGATATTTTGCGCTATTCATCGTTATTACGATGTTACAGTATCGCGCTTTATACTACTACATGTTTCAATGCATAGCAAAACACAAACATGACGCATTTAAACTATAAATTTAAACACAAACTTTTACCACAAAGAAAACTAAGACCCTCCATTACAGAGATCAACAGGTTAGAGCTGTTTCAGAAATGATCGTTGTTTACAGATAAAATCATACGAAACCCCTGAATTCAATACGATCTGTGAGCAAAATGTAAGGTTACTAAAAGTCAAGTAACGGCGGGTAGTTTAAATAAAAACCATAGAACTTTAAATTTTTAAGGTTAGGCCCGCCCTGTCATGTTACTGACACTAAAAGATTATTTTTCAGATTAAAGTGATGTAGGATCTGAGATTTTCAAGGCGGAGAGTCCAAACATTGCTGCCTTCTGAGCTACAGCGCCGTTTAGTCTGGTTACTTATCGCCCTGATGATGGAGGCAGCAAGGACCTCTTAAACGACGGTAAACTTCTACCAGATTACACGGCGTTACAACCCAGAAGACAGCCATCTTCCAAAATAAATGTTACTGCAAGGATCACAGATCTCAGGGTATCTAATCCTTCACCTGGATTCGAATCCACATAGGCAGGCATGTCACAGCTAAGTTGTCCTCCATTTGTCCTACTCCATTTTGTTTTTTAACTGCTCCATTCTTTTTGGTTTATGCAGTAGAAGGATAATGACCCAATTTAAGGTTTGAAAACTGAACACAATGGTTACAATGAGGCCTGTTCGTTCGTAAATCTCTTTCAACAGGGCGGGGTAAGCGGTCGTATGACTATGACTCATGGGTAAACACAGTATCTTCCTCGAGAGTTCGTATTGCAACTAGGCTCCACTCTCCTCTTATCTGTGTTGTGCGCAACACAAGTACGTCCCTAGCTGCTACAACGAACGAACGCGTGGCAGCAGTGGGAGAGAATCCAGACACACCGACTAAGAGAACGTTACAACTCTCCGCGACCATCAGGTTCTTTGAAGTAACTACTACAAGTCTCTTGTTCGATACTTCGTCATGAAAATGTGCCAAAGCCTTCGCAAGTGAAAAAGGTGTGCAGGTAGGTTCAGTTAAGGAAAGGGAGTGCCTGTGCAGCCGCCATTACAAGTGAGGACAGTGTACAGATGAAGCCTATCGTGGCATGTAACTTTTCGTAACAATTAAATGTCTTTTAACTAAGAACTTTGATATAATTTCACGGCCGTTAGACGTCAACTGCCCTGACTGCTCAGAAAAATGGATAAAATTCGAATCGATAGACTTATCAGGCACGAGAGTTCCTTGAAAGTACTTTGGACTGATTTTATTTAATAATATACATGCACTTTCATTACTTGCAATTTACAGAATCTCGGGTTTTGTTCGTAGCATGGGTCCAGAAATACATCACTCAACAAGAGCCACTACTCTCTCACTCTTTCAGTGTGATTTACTCAGCAATTTCTACAGCAGGCGCCAGCAGGCTAGGTGTTAACACGTAAGTGTTTGTCTCGCGTAACAAAATGTGTTTGTATTCTAATGGTAATAAATAATTTGATACATTTTTATAAAAAAGGAAATGAAGTTGACAGGGTAACATGAACAGAAATTTTTATGTTGAACAAGATTGATTCATACAATGTTTCACGAGGACAAAATCAGTGCACAGACATATAATTTTAACAGAAAATTGTTTGTATGACGTCACGTCATGAAATTCCTGTGTCTTTGTGAGATTTGAGTTTTTGATGATGATGTTCTGGGTTTTGGTGCCGTGTAGACTCCACGTTAGATGCC